GAAGCTGAAGTACCGAAACAAAACCAATAAAATGAGGCGAGGATATTCATTTTACGCTGATGACTACCGAACATGAATAATGTACAGCTTGCCCCATTTTCGATGTCCTCAAGAGATATCTCACTTATTTTCATAAATTGCTTCGTTTTTGAGATACAGGGCAATATTGAAAAAGTTGCATTATGGGACCCCCCTGTATCTCAGTCATCTTTCAACTTATCGAGAAAGTAAAAACTGCTTTTTTCACATGCATTCACGTAGATTCTAGTGGCGTAGTCAGTTTTTCGAAATAAGCGATAATTATGCAGATATAACCCAAAGTTGTTTATTAAATGGAACACCCTGTATATTTTTCCATATTCGAAATGATGACCCTTTGCGCTTTCCAAAAATTTATAACACTCATATGGTATTTTGAGTTTAAGTTTATGAAATTAGATAGTTTCTAGTTTTCTAGCGGATTTTTCATCGATGGTCCTTGTAAATATTATGTGGCAACATACAATTTTAACAACATTCAACATTTACAAAATAAATATCCAGCATTTTTTTTTACAATAATAGTTGTAGACCTTATTAGTAGGTGGCTATAAAAGAAAAATCACCTACCTGTCGAATTTAGAATTTTTTCATATGATGGTAAATAGAAAATTAGATAAGGTTGGGGTGTAAATTGGTTATACAGGTTGTTCCATTTAAAAAAACATAGCTTTGGGTTGTATGTGAATAATCAGATTATTCTGAAAATCTGACAAAACCACTGGATTCAACATAAAAAAATGTACGAGCGACAGTTTTTACTTTTTCGATTAGTTGAAAGCTAGCTGAGATACAGGGAGGTCCCAAAATGCACCTTTCTCAATTTCGCCCTGTATCTCAAAAACGAAGTGAGTTATGAAAATTTTGTTCACGGTATTGTGCGTTTCACATAAAAGTAGAAGTTCGCAAAAACCGCAAATCTCTATCTATGAAAATAAATGTGATATCCCGTAAGGACATGGAAAATGGGACATCCTGTAGAGTGTGGTACGATTTTCACCAGATGAGACTTGAGACCTGAACATGGAGAAAAAAAATTGACAAATACTCGACTAATCCTTGTGCGAGTTGAAAATATGTATTGTTATTGACTTGACAATTAGATCTTCAACAATAAATATCGGGTGGTCACAAAAATGCCGGAAGTTTTTATTTTCCTCGTGGTTTCATCATTTCTCAACCGAATTCGAATTTCTTGGCGTCGTTTCATAGCTAAAGGGCTATAGGCGTAGTTTCATAGCTAAAGGGCTATATACAGTGAAATATTTGAAAATTTTATGATGAACAAAAACAAAATGACGGATTCTACCAAAGTATTGTCATTTACAAAAACCGCTGGAGAAAAATAAAATCAGATTTTTTTCAACCTGTACCGATGTCGTCTTAGGCTATTCATTTCTGAAGAGAATGAGTACTGGAACATCGAAATCGAACAAATAGTCCAGTGGATACACTCATTTCTTTGCAATTTGTTATGGAGTGAATGTGCTAATCTCGTATAAACGATTGTTATTATTTTGCTTCAGGCTTCATGAAAATTCAATCGAATTTGTATTTCTTAGAGTTATTTCAGAGATAAAGAACTGTAGTACACAATGGAACATTTGAAAATCCAATAATTGAAAGAAACTAAATGGTGGAGAATCCAGAATTTTTGTGATTTTCAAAAATCTGGCGAATAAAGAAATATTAATTTTCCCAATCAGGACCGATACAATTTCAGATCATTACGACCACGAGGAAAATGAAAACTTCCGTTTTTTTTGTGACCACCCGATATATAGAAGGAGAAAAATGCGATTCGTAAAAAATGATGATGAATTTTAATTTCAAAATTCAACTGGAACTCAATATTTTTTCCACAAATTTTTTTCCTCATTGCTCAACATTTTTTCAAAGTGCAAACTCGGTAGGCATCGATCATGTCCTACAGGGTGTCATTTAGTTCTGGCTCACCAACACCTTTTGGTATTCCATCTTGGCCTCAGGTGAACATGTTACAATTTCATAGGATGACCTCTATTATACAATAATATATTATTATACTTTTTCAAGTTATGAACTAAAATAATTGTACATTGTATTATGTACAGGGTGGGCCAAATTGGACACTTTTAAACGGAAAGTACAGGGTGATTCACCATAAATGTCCCCCCCTCTAGCTCACTTATTTTATTATTATTTATTATTATTTATTATTATTATTATTTATTAAATTATCTAGAATGATTTTTCAGAAATTTTTTCCCGTCGCATCAAAAAATACAGGGTGCTCGGAACAAACGATCTACAGAGTACTACTCGATTTTTTCAAATGGAACACCCTGTATTTCATTGTATTTTTAGATTTTCCCTGGAGAGCTGATTTCATCAATACATCACACTTGGGGTCTAGCGGGAATAATTACAGAGATATAGGGTGTTCAAAATCGAGATTTTTCAGCTTCAGGATTGTTTTGTGTCGAAACTAGACCCCAAGTGTGATACATTGATGAAATCAGCACTTCAGGGAGAATCTGAAAATACAATGAAAAATAGTGTGTTTCATTTGAAAAAATCAAATAGTACCCTGCAGATCGTTTGTTCCGAGCACCTTGTATTTTCTGATGTAGCGGAAAAAAACTCTATCGAAAATCATTTTAGATGATGTTTAAAATTTTGTAATCGTTTCAAAAATAACTGAGCTAGAGGGGGGACATTCATGGCGAATCACCCTGTACAATTCTCGAACTAGTTAGAAGAAAACTGATGTCGGTGCCGGAGGGTCGATTCTCATGCAAAAATTAATGGTGAAAACGGCATATCCATATATTCCTTAGTTTCGGAGTTACAATGTATTCTTAAAAAATTGACATTTTTGAAAAGAGTCTACAAATATTTTTTTGGCAAGCATTGTCTGTTCTCATGAATATAACTGCAAAACATTGAGTTTGTGATGAAAATTATTCCTGAGACACTGAAATCGGCCTACCTATATCTTATTCAAGAATATAACTTGTTTTTCTCAAAGAAAAGTTCTATTTTGAAACTACATATATGGTGACTGATTTCAGCACCTGAGGATCAATTTTCATGACAAACACAATGCTTTGGAAATATTTTCATGTACCTATGCGAAGAATTTTTGCCAAAAAAATTAGTTTTAACCACTTCTCAAAAATTCATATTTTCGAAAAACACCTTGTAACTCTCAAACGAAGGTAGATACAGATATGAAGTTTTCACCATAGAGTTAGTCATGTGAATTGATCAACAGGCAAGGACATCAGTTTTTTTTCTATCTAGTGAGTACAGGAATAGGACTTTTCTTTTAAAAGTGTCCAATTTGGCACACCTTGTACATTTCAAGAGAGAATGTCATATCATTTGCGAGACCTGAGAATTATTATTTCATATCGAACAGACTATCCCAAGATGTTGAGTTTGAGGTTTGAGCATTTAGATTATTTAAAAACAAGAGTGAGTATAAGTAGCAAATAATATTCTTTTAATGTATTTAGATGACCACGAAATACCGTGCCTGAGATTCTGAGGAAACCATTTATGATCAAACTACATCACAATAAACATTCATCCACAACTAACTGTACATAATTTATTAAACTAATTCATTTACCTAAGGTGTTTTGCAACTTTTCAAACTGCGCGAATTGTTCGGACCTGTGTCTCATATAAAACGTTTGTTTTGTATTAAAGTTATATAAAAAAGACAAGAATAAATAATAGATAAGTTAACATAATACTTTCAAAAATAATACACATACACAACTTTTCACAAAACAAGCGAATTCATTTTCCCTTCTAGTTTCGATTGTTCATATCAAACTTTCCTTTTTATCTCAACTAGATTATTAAAAACATAAAATCTGGCTGAAATTCAACATTCACTATATTCTCAAGAAACAACAAGCAAGACAAAATCAATATTCAATGAAGACATTCGATAAATTATTTCACATATTAACCGACGATATTGTGGAAACTTGCTAGAATTTTGAATTTCAGTCATACATTCTCATCTTCCCTGCAACAACACAGTCGAACTTATCACTGAAAAATAATGCTCACATTGTAGAATATTCTACTGATTTAATCAAAAGTATGGATTCATCGACGTATTTTTTTGAGTTGACTCGGCCGTTATTTGAGGGAAATCCATAGTTAACTTCACAGACGTTAAGATTTTCACAAAATTCTTAATCATCCACGTATCTACTTGCTATGAATTGCTCAAGAAAGGAATCATAATATTATCACTTATAATACCCCATAGGGAATGAATTATTGCCGGAAATTTTTTGAGTACATGAATTTTTTGGGAACTATCACAAGTCGCCGCTAAGCGACGAGGGATAAATTTCTTTAAAAATTCATGTAGGAGACAAATTTCCCGCAAGTAATTCATGCACTTGGGGAATTCGGTAAGAACATTTTATACCGGAATTATATTTAAAAAGAAAACACTAAGTGACTATTTGCTCTCCCTGTACCCTAGTGAAATAAAATAGTGTCTTTCCGAAACAGATACATTCTTATATTAAAATAATTGATTTTATATGATTATCTTCGTTCTAGCTTTCCGGAAAATACAAAATATTGTAAAAATTATTTCAATTTTGTCTAAATATAAGACAGCTGTCATGTGCCAGAAAATTTCCAGTTATTCACTTTACATATAAGCGCTCATGTGGATGAAACATTTCTAAAAAATTTGCCGGTTACCATAGTAACAATGTCGAAATTGAGCATCTGATTGATTGAAAGTTACTGGTATGCAATTTTCATACTTCTGAAAGAACAAGAATTATTCATCCTAGCTGTCAAACTCATTGGGAACAAGTATGGAATATTTCTCAACCATATCATGATTCCATACATTCAATTAAAATTCAGTATAATATTATGTTTGTACTACTCCCCCACAGTCGATGAGAAACACACATTTTCTTTTTCTTCTTCTTCTACATTTTTGTCTTAATTGACTCAATCATCATTCCAATTGCAATTATTATGAACATTACGGTATTTTCCATAAGTTGAATCTCAAGAATCCATATTTTTTTGAGAAATAAAATGTCAACAAAATTTTACTGCCAAAAACAAACTTTGAGTTATCAGCACAAACAAGATGGAATTAAAAAATGGTAGAACATCCATATATAATTGATTTCTATTGTTTGTTTCAATGAATTCTACTATGGATCATCATATTATGTTTAGCTTGATCAAATTCAATAAAATTAGAATGTTTCCAATAATGATTCGGTAATTTTCGAAACAGCAAATATCGAAAAACACGTCTAATATCGGGTGGTTCTTGAGACAGGAGGAGTACAGAAAAGTAAACTGGCTGCTAGGAAATCCCTATGAACTAATCACGCAGAGATGCTTATACTTAACAAATAGTAGTAAGACAGACTTGACTTTTATACTGCTTATCTACATTGGTAAGTCGCCGGCTAAAATGGTATAGCGTGTCAATGCAAGTACTTCTGAAGGCTTCGAGATGAATACCTAAAAAAAAACATTTCTTTTTATGTGAATGGCAAATTATGCATATTATACTTGATAGGGATTCGTTATTTTAAACGAATAGTAAAAAACATTTGAAGCAGAATCGATAGAGTGGACTGTATTTGAATTGTACGCTGATAGTTTGAATGATTCATGAGACGAAGTCGGAATTAGAATATGACTTTAATCTGACAATCAAAAAATTATAATGACATTAAACATCAATAGCAACATAATTATGGAGTATGTTTTTTTTACAAACTTTGGCGAAATCAAGATATGTTGCTGCAAATCAAAATATACAATGTGTAAATGAAATACGTTTTAACAAAATTCTTGAAAAATACCTATCAGTATTTATTTTTGCCGATATAGCAGTTTTTTATTTTCGTTTATTTGCTCCATGCATCTAAATAGCATAACAGATTTTCATAACCTCCATCACTGGGCCGCAGAAAACCCTCGTCTAACAAGGTAAATTAGTTTTCCTCCGATTGGCAGCAAATATTAATTTTGCTGACACATATCGATCAGCAAAGTATTACTTTTCCTGCCTAGGCAGCAAAGTGGGTACTTTGCTGCCTAGGCAGCAAAGTGGTTACTTTGCTGATTGATATGTATCAGCAAAATTAAAAATCCATAAATCGTTTATAATTTCCTTCATATTCCATCCGAGACTTCTCCGGCAACAAATTCAACTCTATATTTTTTGCCACCTCCCTTATTAATGGAGGTGTAAGTATACTTCCAGGTCGCTATCACTGTCCATTATATAATAATTTGAATATACCGATATTTTTTCGCACAACTGTCAGAAATTTCATGAATTGTCAAACCAACAACTGCGATTTCTATCAAATTTTATTTTAATTGAACACTATACAGGAAGAATAAAGAGATTGTGGGAATTGTATTAATTCGCAAATACAATATTCTCCCATACCATTATGAACAATCGGAGAAAAAATTATATGTTCAACTCGGCAGCAAATTAGATTGACTGCCTTAGCTGGATTCCTAGCCTCGCTACGCTCGGCTATGAATTCAGCCACGGCAGTCAATCTACTACTTTGCTGCCTAGTTAAACAAATAACTATTCCAACGGAAGTTTTCTGTTAATGTGTTGATGGGACTCATTGACAGTTATTCAATAGGAACACATTTTTTCCCTAGACAATTTGAAAAGGGAAATGTATTAACATTCTCTACTGCATGATCTACAGGGGCTTCTTGATGATGTTTCTCTCGCCATCAGAGGACGAATGGTATTCCAAAAAGACGGTTGTCCAGCGCATTATCGGCTGATCGTTCGACAGTTCCTGGATGACCTAACCCTCCTTTATTATAAGGTGTGGGATCATATGAAAGCGCTAGTTCATGAAACCCCAGTAACAACCCAAACAAAGGATGACCAACTCTGCCCTGCACATACAAAATAATTTGACAACTGAATAACAAAGACGGAAATAAGTAGACGCTGCCGAACATGTATTCGTAATAGAGGTCTCACTTTGAACAGGATTTGTGAAAAGTAAATACTATTAGAAGTTTTTCAAGTACATTTTTAATATTCATTCCAGATAACAAACCTGCATCAAGCACCTTTATTATCATTTGTACCTAGTTGGATAGCTATTGTCTCAACAGATGAACAGTATTGACAGATTTTTGAAAAATGTGGCTTAGAAATGTTTTTGAAAATACCCGCTAGAAAGTGTTGAAATCCACAATTCAGAAACAAAAATAAACTTTGTGTTTACAACTTATCTATAATCTAAATTATTTCTGGATTTTCTTCATTCCAAACATGAGATCATAGTGAAGATCATGTATTCTAGTTGAAAGGTTGTTGAAAAAATGTATAGCAGATTTTCGGGAAACTAACTTTTATACCCTTGAAGTCTACCTTTTGGAGAAAAATAGAAAAATGTGAATACCTCAAAAACTATCAACTTTTGCATAATGCATAATATGGTTAAATTCATTCCCTATCACATCTTCGAAGAAATGTATCGAATTACCCTGTATAGAGATGTATCTACTTACTTTTTAGACTGGAACGTAATTCCCCTTGGGCGTGTACCAAATCTGACCGGTGAACATGCGCCTCATTATCTCTCTGGCCAGCAAGCTCTTCTCCTTCTGGATCTTCTTCAGCACGCCCTTATTTTCGTGCGCCCTCCGCGACAGATACGGCAACACCTCGTTTACCGGCCCGTACGGGATGTATTTGTAGGCCGAGTAGCCGGACTGACCTGAACATGATTTTTTATTCATTTATTCATCTTGAGAATAACATACATTTCAGCTTACTTAATATATACTTTTATTTACTAAAAACGTTATCAAAAAAGTTGAAAACTTGTCCATGATCATGTAATTTTTTTTTCTTCCACTAACTATACTTCATTTTCTCATTTAGTACAATTTATATAATAAATACATGTTCGTAATTTCTAAAAATAACTATAAGAACATGAAATGTTGCATATGGATTATTTTATATTCAAACAAATTTCTGAATTCTCAATTAGGATCTATTTTTTTTTCTTGGATCCATAAAACTGATTATTTACAAAGATAGAGACAATTTATTGTAACATTTTGTACCTTTCTGAATGGCATGTTGTTGCATTAAAGTTGAATTTCTCAGTTGATATCCATCCATCAATTTTATTTTTGGTGTCATATTTATTTATGTTTTACAGGACTATCGTTTTGTAAATGTTTTCTAATGTATATTGCTGTTGTAAAACAATTCATATCTAGAAAAAAGACTTCAGGGTGTAGAATTTGGTCAGTCTTGTAGTGATGAAAAAAGATTGACAAGAGCTGTTCCTCAGGGCTCCATACTAGGGCCGCTCCTCTTTATTATTTACATCAATGATCGTAAATTCATCTAATATAAAAACTGCAATGTATGCAGATGATGCCATTTGAAGTATAGCTTTAGATGATTTGGTAACTCCTCAGCAAATTTTGAATATAGTTGTAGAGAAAGCAAGATATTGGTTCACTGCAAATGAGCTGATACGGAATGAACAAGAAACTAAAACATCAACTTCTGAAACGAGAAACATGGATCGAATAGAACAAACAGCTGTTAAATTCTTGGGTGTGCAAATTGATTCAAATTTAACCTGGAAAGACCACATACATAACCTTGGTATCAGACTAAGTAGGTCAACATTTGCAATCAGACTAACTAATAAATCTGTGAACCTTAGTGCAGCTCTTATGACTTATCATTCACTATTCCATTCAGTTCTTAGGTATGAAATAATATCCTGGGGTTATGCATCAAAAATTCATTTAGAAAGAGTATTCGTGCTAAAAAAATTTGCCACAAGAGGTATAGCATCTGATAAACTTGATAAAACGTGCAGACCACTTTTCGAAATTCACAAAGTAATGACATTATATTCAGTTATTGTCTACGAAAATCTATTGAATGTTCGATTGAATTTGATAAAATATGCCACTCACACAGATGTGCACCAATATAACAAAAAAAACGAAGGTGACCTTGTGCTGAAAACAAATAGACTGAAAAAAAACCAGATAATATAGACATCAAACTATATAATACACTGCCAACTGATTTCCGAGAATTGTCAATAAAAAAATTCAAGGTCATGAAGTATATTTTAATTGAAAACCCACTGTATGACATTCATGAATTTTCTGAAATAGTTGTGAGAAATTGATCATTCCAGAATTACGTCATTTGACAGGTTGTTGAATATGATATTTCAGATCAATCTCAATCTGGTGAACAATTCAATTTGAGCGGTGTCAGTGCTTCCCAAAGTGATTTATTCAAATCAGAAGAAGGTACTTCTACTAATTACACGCAGGTTGACTATGTTGATAAATCATCAAAATCTATTAATAGTAAGGACAAGGAACATAATGAAGAGAAAATTCGTTTACTTAGAGAAATAATTGAACAAAAAGATATACTGATTGCCGAAAAAGATGATAAAATTAAATATTTAACAAAACTCAATGAAAGATTGGAGGAAAATTATAAATTAAGAGTTTCCAATATGATTGATGACAATAATATAATGGAAACCCTAGACCAAATGAAGAAAACAATTGAAATCATTCATGAAAAAAATGAAATAAAAGTAAATTGTTTAAGCTATTCTGATGTTCTGAAAACAAATTATGTATCTCCACCCAAGCAAAATGAACAGACCCTAATATTGAAACCAAAAAATAATCAGTCATCTTCAAAAACAAAAGAGGACTTACAAAAAAATGTAAACATTAGCAAACTTGGTATAGGAATACATTACATGAAAGAAATGCGTAATGGCAATATGATTATTAAATGCAAGGATAAGGAAGATATTGAGAAAGTCAAACAAGAAATTATTGAAAAATTACCCTCTAAATATGATGCAGAAATAAAAAAATTAATCAAGCCTAAAATTAAAATACCAAATATAAAATTGGAAAGCAATATAACGAAAGAAGAATTAGAAAAAATTATTATTAAACAAAATTCAATGATTCAAGAAGGAGATAATTTTCATATTGAATTCATGAAATATTTTGATAGATCAAAAACACATACAATATTTGCTGAAATTAATGGAAGACTAATGAACAAAATCATGGCAAGTAATTATGGTAAATTATTTGTTGGCTGGCAGAATTTGACAGTATATGACAACAACATTATATCACAGTGCAATAAATGTTGTGGATTCAATCACAAAATTAATAAGTGTAAAAATGAAATAGTATGTCCCCGTTGTGGTGGATCACATGAAATTACATTCTGTCAAAGCAATGAACTGAAATGCTTTAATTGTGTTAATTCCAATAACCGCTATAAAAAAGAATATTGTGTGAATCATTCAGCAAAAGACGAAAAGTGTCCCACTCACAAATTTCATCTGGATCTTCTCAAATCTCAGATTGATTATAGCTATTAAAAAAAAAAAACATCATTATGAATAACAATCAGTCTATAAAATTATCGGAAATAAATTCGATAAATGATGTTCAAGTTTATGACATCAAGAGAATGAAGATTTTATATCTCAATTCAAGATCACTCAAAAATAAAATGGATGAACTAGAAATCATCATCAGTGAATTGGAAGTTGCAGCCATCGTAGTAAGTGAAACATGGATGAATAAGGAAGAGGAAAAATATTTCAATTTCAAGAATTTCAATGCAGTCTATGCTAGTCGTGAAAAAAGAGGAGGGGGTGTTGGAATTTTCATCCATGAAAATCTAAATTTCGAAATTATTCAAAAAGAAGAAACCATTTTGACGTATTTAGCAATCAAAATTAAATCCCCAGAAATATTACTTTGTGGCATTTATCGGCCGCAAGATCTGAATATAAATTATTTTCTGAATTTCATGGATATGACGCTTGAAAATATCATTAAGTTCAAATGTGTAAGTTATTTCTTTGGTGATATGAACGTTAATTTATTATCGGATAGCAATGAATCCAAAGATCTAGTAGATATTTACAAATCCAGAAATTTCAAAATTTGCAATGAAAATATTCCAACTAGAAACTTATCACTTATTGACCATTTTATCACTAATTCAGAAAAAGTTCTTGATGTATTTGTTATTAATAACTCACTGAGTGACCACAAATTTTACTTGACTTGCATACCTGATGCAAACCCAAATAATAGAAAATATGTGAACAAATTGATAAAAACATATGATGTAGAAAAATTAAGAAGTGAATTGGAAATTCTCAATATAAATATTGATAACTATGATGATATTGATGAGGCATATGGTAAACTATTGGACATTTTCAATACATGTCTGATTTCGAGAATAATTAGAATAAAAAATGATTCCAAACCATGGTTCGATAATAACGTAAGCACATTAATTAAATTAAGAGATAAATTTCATTATAAAAGAAAAATATATCCTAATATTAATTATTTTGATGAGCAATTCAACTTATATAATAAACTGGTGAAAAAAACAATAAGAGATACAAAGAAAAAATTTTATGATAATCATTTCTTCAATAGTACCCCCAAATCCGTTTGGAATGGTATCAATTCACTGCTGTATAATAAATCAAGAAATAAGACAGAAAATATTGAATATATTACAGTGAACGATATCAAAATTGAAAATGTTCATGAGATGACTAGTGCAATCAATCACCATTTTATCAATGTTGGTACAAATTTATCATCAAAAATTACTTTTATTTCTGACACAGTAGTAGATCATTCAAGCGTTTTATCTATGTTCCTAAGACCCCCCAGCATTTCTGAAATTGAAGATATTGTTGACAACTTGGATGTACGAAAGTCTTGTGGATTTGATTATATAACTAATAATATTGTGAAGGTAGTCAAATATGAATTGGCTCCTATATTGTTGAAAATTATCTCAAAATCTTTTAAAAGTGGAATTATTCCTGACAAAATGAAAATTGCGAAAGTATTGCCTATATACAAAACTGGCAGGAGAGATGATATGAATAATTACAGACCCATTTCTGTTCTCCCGGTTCTTTCAAAAGTTATAGAAAAAATTATGAATCATCGTCTTCTTGATTTCCTGGAAAATAACAATTTGCTATACAGTGGTCAGTATGGATTCCGTAGATCGAAAGACACTGAAGTAGCCGTTATGGATGTTATTTCAGATATCCAATTACGAATAGATAAAAATGATCAATGCGGTTTATTGTCATTAGATCTATGCAAAGCTTTCGATACTGTCAACCATAACATTTTATTAAATAAATTATTTGCAATTGGTGTCAGAGGAAGAATTCATGATTGGTTCAAAAATTATCTATCAAATAGAAAACAATATGTTGAATTGAGTGGTACTTGTAGCTCCTTAATGAACATCTCATGCGGTGTACCGCAAGGGTCAGTCTTGGGACCAGTTTTATTTTTGATCTACATAAATTCAATATCAAACTTGGAATTGAGAGGAAAACTTAAATTATTTGCAGATGACACGACATTGATTTATTTCTCTAAAGATTCAAATAATATTATCATGGACATGAAAAGTGATTTAGAGAAAATATCCTCTTGGTTACAAGTTCATAAACTATCTCTCAATTATAACAAATCCTCATATATGTACATAGCAAAAAGAACATTGAACATTTCAAATAGAACACTATCCTTCAACAATAAACTCATCAAATATACAGATGTTACAAAATTTGTAGGTCTTTATATTGATGAAAGACTATTGTGGAATAAACATATAGATCATTTGAGGAACAAACTTAATCCTATTACAGGCATTTTATTCAAAATACGAAATTTCATTTCTACCAGATACTTGAAGAGTATTTATTTCTCTCTTATTTACTCAAAATTTCAATACCTAATATCTATATGGGGAAGTACCAATATTTCACGTTTGAGTCCACTAATGAAATTACGAAATAAAACATTGAAGTGTATTTTCAATTTAAATTTTCTCGAACCAACCATGAATTTATACAAACCTAGAGATTTATTAGATCTGACATCGCTATATAAACTTAAAATTTGTTGTTTTATTCAATTTGTCCTATATAAATTGAAAATTTCGAATTTAAATTTCAATGAAATCAATTCATTACATAATCATGGAACAAGACAATCAAATTTACTAATAGCAAATACGTTCAAGTCAAATATCGGCAAACAATCAATTTTTCACACAGGAATCGTTCTATACAACTCATTACCAAGTCATTTGAGGAATATACAGGAAGCAACTAGATTCAAAATTGACTTAAAAAAATATCTGCTTCAGAGACTTTGATAATTCCATTTCTTATTTGAATACCTACTTATAAAAGACTAGGTTGATATTGCATGATTATTTGCATTTTTTTTTTTTTTTTTTTTTAACTTGTTATATCTTATTATAATTTCATGATTGTATGTATAACATTATGTATAATGTTTATGTATCCCTATTATAAACAACTATGTTTCTTGGGTAATAAAGACAATCAATCAATCAATCAATTTTGTCAAGATTTGTCATATAAAACCAGAATTATTGGGATCGTTTTCCTTGGAATCCGAGTTGGAACCAGAAAGAATTTCATAATTTTGTTTGGTGAAACTGTTATTATATTGTAGATGTGGCAGGGATGGCCAGGGCTATGCTCAACAAAGTTAACCTAACAGATAGTTTGTGTGCCCCTCAAGAAACCATGTCAAAATCACGTGTTCTAGAATGATCAATAGGGATGCTTTTGGAGTGTCAAGAATGACTTTGTCTATACATATTTTTTGAATTTAAGGATTGTCAAACTTGAACATTAAATTTATTATTTTCTCAGATAGGGTATTCCATTTTAGTAACGCCAAAGTATTTTAGCATGTATCTCATTTTCTCCTGACCTAACATAATTTAACCTAACCTAACCAGACTGGAGTCTCACCCATGATGAAAATAGACTGGTGTAACCACTTGTCAATTGTTTCTTTCCAAAACGTGTAGACCGCGAAACACCGTAGCAAGGCCGCACCGGATTGACTGTAGATGGCGTAGGGAACATCGTGCCACATATACTTCACAGATGTAATGAAAATTTCACGTCTTTTTCATTAAATCAATCACTTTTTCTCAATGTTTTTGAATTACGAATTGATATACGTAAATGTAAACAACAAAACAAAACAACCATTGTGTAGCAAGATCACTTCGGGAACATCGCCATCTAGCGTTAGTTTTGCGCGGCCTTACTACGGTGATAGAATTCGACATAATCAAGTAGGCCAGAGGTCTACAAAATTTCTAGGGTTTTGTAAGAGGGAGCTATTTCACCACACGGAATGACGTGGAATAACTGTTGACAGTCGTCAAAAAATAAAATGTAATATTGATCAAAAACGAAACTTTTTGAAAATAGAAGACATTTTTATAGTGAGGTTCACAAGTTTATATTTCTTTCAGGTAAGACACATTTCATAATGTTCATTCCCAGTAAAATTAATTATCTCGATCTGGAAGAATTTTCTCCAATCCCCACAATCACCACTATCACAGCTACAAATATTTGTCGATTCATTTTCTAGATTCCAAACTGTAGTATTATGATTTTGAAATTATATATTAATATAACCTTTATCATCTATAGTATGTCAATTCTCTCATGCAATGACGGCTCGGTGGTCGAGAGCGTGAATGCGCTGAGTTCGTATGGAGACTCCCACCGAGACATAGGTTCGAATCCTAGTTAGGCCATGGATGCTTGTGTTTGTATACTTACCTAACCCCGCACAAGTTTCGACTTATGGGGCGTTTGGTCCCAGTGCTGGGACCAACGAGGTAAGTAATTGCAAAAAAAATGTTATCAAGTTTCTCGTTTTATTTGTAAACGTCATTATGCTCGCACAACACCGCTACCAGAACGAAACGAATGCGACAACTCACCCAAGGGGAAGGTGATGTAATCGCACATGGCCAACAGCTGGCCGAAACAGATGACCTTATCTGCCGGCTCGATGTCGCACTCCTTCATCTTCTCGATGGCGAATCGGACGGTGTCCTCGTTGTGCGACGCCACCATGATGGCGATCTTCTTGTCCTCGCCCTTGTTCTTGAAGTCCTTGATGCGGCGCAGGCACTCGCTCAGCGTGCTGTGGTACATGTCGGTGGTGGCGTCGAAGGTCGGATTCGTTGGGTCGGGGTAGCCCATCGCCGCCGCACGGGCTCTCTCCTGCAACAGCCGTTGTATTCATTTTTCTACTCACATAACTGAAATGGCATTTGGCGTACGGACGGACATATACCATGCTAAATGATCGATTGATCACGGATTGATGACAAGAGTAACGTGTGGAGGGGATGAGAGAAGGAAAAGAGTCCGAACATGAGGGGATAAAAAAGTGCCAGGAGGGTCATTAGAGGCTAGCGATGAATGGTGATGACTAGAGTTCCTAAATATACTTGACACTGCTGTGTCAACATAACCACAAACGATTTTGAAGCAATTCATACGTTTTGCCAGACAAGGACAAGAATATGTTTTTCGCTTAGATAGAGGATCCTCGCATCTTCCTTCCTCCACAAGTCCTGGGAAGAGTACATCCATATATATTTCTCTGTCTTTGATTTTTGTATGAGACTGCATAGGGTCTCCTCGAGTGGGTAAAAGGGTACAATAAATTGATCAGAAAATTATTTCCTCTCGACATTGAATGATGAGGCTGAATGACCTCGATGGAGGTCGATATCAAGTTGGTATATACATATATACCAAAACGAAATACATATACTATTCCTATGGAATGAGTCTCTCATATGTAGGTTTATATTATATATACGTTCAGTTGAATATTTTTCATCACAAAAGTTTAGAATGCGGTAAAAATTGATAAATTTCAACCAATGAAACATACTTTTATTTCGTATGGAACAATTTCACTTGTACATGAGTGGTAGGCAATAAGTAATTAATAAATGAACAAATGATATGGCAACAATAACAGATGATTTCAGTTAGGATAAATAATAAAGGTTTTCCAAGACACTCGGAAGTAGGTATAAATGGACTTCATGGCCTCGACTCACTATAGATCGCCGTTCACAGTGCTATTTTTTTCTTCTATTCGTTTCCTGAATTCCTCACTGTCTACCACGCGTAAACCTTGGATTTTTGAATATTCCTGCTCTAAAAATTCGATTTTCAAGTCTTTTTCTTTCAAAATATGTTCGAAATGAATTTCATTATCTGCAAGTTTTTCGTTTCTTGTTGGTTCTAAATTAGAATAAGGTTCTTTTCGATACTCGCTCAGTTTATAAATTGTGCGTTCGGCTCTTTCTCTCAATACGATCCTATTCTTCAACATCAAATCTTTCGTTTTAAAGTGTACCTGATGGAAATGCGTTGAAAAATGTTCTATATCCTACCGAGAAATTTGAATACCTCGCAAATTTTGTGGCCTGAACCTATATTCCATGCCGGTCGCATCATATTCTGTTTCCATTTTTGTAGAATTACGTTACCCGATGGAAATTCGAATAGAGTGAATTGATTTCCCGTGTACTCACAGTTGGAAACTGCACAAACTTGCATCTTTCTCCTAATTTTCGCAATTTGTCAAATCTTTGAAATGTATGTCATGTACGTCCGTGTACTGTCTGTTCCCGCTTTTCCCATCAATTTATTTGTGGTTATGTCTGATTGTCAGTGCTTGTCATAGTGTCCGTACTCTAATATACAGAAAACAGCAGTGTCAAGTACATTCAGGAACTCTAGTGATGACTACGGTTGTCGATGCTAGCATTTACAAATTTATCCAAGTCTAATAGCTAATACCTATTGCAAAGAGAAACAGTTGGGATATTGATAAAATACATAACAAAACTGTGAAGCACCTAGTCCTAGTGTGAAGCATTGGAAAGCACGGCCGACCTGGATGTTGGATGTTGCTGTATAAATAGGTAGCATACGCCATCGTTGATCTTCTCGGAATTCGAATAATTCGATTCGATCGTGAACAGTAATCGAATTAAGTTACGGATTGACTGAGAGTACCGATGAATATCGAAGAAGTTATTCTTTGTCTCATGAACAATCTCTCTGCCTAGATCTTTTAGTTTTTTTTTTTACATTTTTCTGTGGTAGTACCTACTGAAGTACTGAAGTTTCCTCAGATTTCTGGATAGTTTTATTATACTTATAAAAATAAACCGTAACATTGATTTGCTGACCCCCCCTGTTAAAAAAATAATAACCTAGCTATTCAGTGTGGTTCAATATGTGATTTATTCAAAATATCAAACATGTTACCATGGCAATACGATTTCTCAAACACATTACCATGGCAACAGAGTTTTTTTAAACACACCTTCAGTCGTTCGAGTCCTGTCCGGCCCGTTAATTGTAGGAACTGTCAATTGTCATTTTTGAATTTTGTTGCAATTAGAATAACTCAAACAATTTCTGTATGCATCAGAATTATTTCATTGAATATAAATGCATGATCAGATTCATTTTATTTCTCAAATGCTCTATTTGTTTAGTCCATAATAATTTTTCATCAATATAGAGACCTTTGTCACGTCTGTATATTTAATAAATCTATTGTTGAAAGTTATACAATTATTCCAAGTATTTACTAATCTCTTGGAGATATACGTACATGAAAATTTGTTATAATTCAGAGTCAACTCATGAATTTGCATCCAAGATGATACGTTTTCCAAATCAATTTTAATATCTCCTTCGATATCATTTGATTCCTTCGATATATAAATCAATGTTGTATCATCCGCAAATAATTTCAGCTTTCCTTTCAATTTCAGACAAGAATACGTAGACAACAAAAACATTTTTAGAAAAAAAAAACCATCACATGATAAGTGCAAAGTTACCAGTTGGCGTCTTCTACAATACACCATATCTACAATATTACACGAAATTCTTCCGAATATTCAATCTCATTTAATAGATGATTGGCCACAAACTCGTTTTATAATTTCTCTAAGGAAAGACGACTAGATTTTCGAAATAGAGCGAATAGTACTGACCTGTTCGAGATAGGCGCCGCGCACGAGCTTAGCGCCGAAATAGAAGTTCTGCCTTTTGGCCTGTTCGAGATCGGTGGAGACTTCGGTGAGGGCGTTGCGCAAATAGCACTGGTACGTGTTGAAGACGATCGCCTTCTCCTTGTTGTACTTCCTCATGAATTCGAGCGTGATGCGAGTGATGGCAGGCTGGAAGTACGTCTGTTCGGCATCCACCATTATGCGCACGTCCATCTCTTGCGCTGCCTAATAGGAATTGACGTACATCAGAGTACAGAAAACATTGGATATAATAAGTGTGTTCATTTCTATCATCGGTAATGCTGTAATGAGCAAGCCGATCAAATCAGATCAATGATATCACAAAGCAGATTGTATAGTGGGAGAGCCAGCTGCAGATTTCTACCGTCATCTGATAACGAAATGATATACAGGGTGTCCCAAAATTAGCCTGCCAAACTTCACCAGAGGCTTCTACGATCAAAAATAGGTAGGAAAGTTTCAATGAACATGATATTTCTTGAGTATTTCCGAAACTCCATGTGATAAAAAGATGCAATTTGGTACAAGAACTCAACTTTCCATGCCCAATGCAGTGAAAATGAAATCATTTCAAAATTTCACTCAGGAGTGTATAATACAGGGTGGGACTACATTAAATATGACTAAACAATTTTTTATGCATATTTTTCGACAAATTAATCTCGGATCATGAAAGTCCATATCATTTCACGAAAAAAAGGTGCTCCTGTTCCGCATCGATCAGATGTATCATTATCGAGTAAAAGCGATTCAAAAATATTGTTACATCTCAGATATTATGCATAACATTGCAATGAGTCGTAGTGAAAATGGAAAAAAAGTGCACAAGAATTGAAGTAGTTTTTTTAACATCATCTTCCTATTTTTCGCGCTTTTATGAGATTACTTGGTGAAAAGAAAGTAGTTGATGTTTTTATAGCCATTATGGTTTGTAAATTGGCAACGTTATACATAAGATGTGAGTGTATCAATATTTTAAAATCGATTTCACTCGAAAATTATAGATCTGATCGATGCGGAACAGGAGCACCGTTTTTTGGGAAATGATATGTATTTTCATAATCCGAGATTAAACTGTCGAAAAATATTCATACAACGCATTTTGAGCAATATTCTATGTAGTCCCACCCTGTATTATACACTCCTGAGTGAAATTTTGAAATGATTTCATTTTTACTGCATTGGGCATGGAAAGTATAGTTCTTGTACCAAACCAAATTTTAGGACACCCTGTATATCCCAAAAGAATGTCAAAACATTGTAGTTCATCGAACGGCACCTGTGCCAATCACTATCCTCAGCAAAATAATTGAAAAATAGCACTTTCCTGTGCGGACATTTGCATTCGATTCCGCGATTCGATAACGAGAAAGGAATTATGCCATCCGATACCAATTTATTAATTGATCTCAAAAGCCCACCTGTGCAACTCCTCAGTATGAGCCAAGTCTACGACACAGCGATTTATTTGCTCCTATTATTCCAGACATACTTCCGTCATGTGATAACGAGTTCAAACAAGAAGCAAATGAAAGGTATGATGTCTTGTTTGCGAATATCCCAACGTGCCATGATCCAAACTGATCCAAGTTAGTGGCAGAGCGTCAATACTTCCCAGAATATTTTGTTCCCCTTGTGGGGGAATCCACAATTCTTCGAGAAAAGGAATGAACTGTATGAATGGTGTGCTAGTGAAACGCTAATACGTCCATTTTTTGCTTTATTTTCTTATAACATTGATATGACAATAGCATGAAATATTTTTATATTTTTCTGACAATTCAATAATCAACAAATACAACATAAGATGATTTGAAGTACTGAGAGAGATTGATTATAGCGAATTCCATTGGTAAAACTAGCTCGCACTGACTGCATATTTTGTATTCCATTGGTAAAACTGGTGTCGGGTTTCGAATTCCATTGGAAAACTGGTTCACATTAGAGGCCTGTTCGTTTGTATTGCTGAACTTGCTAAAGTTGATTATTTTCCCATAGTTGTCTCTGTTCATGGCATGATGTGAACAGAGAAAGTCATAGAAAAAAAATCAAGTTCAGCAGGTAGAGCAAGCACAAACGAACAGTTTGGAGCTCAGTGCAACAATTCTCGCACGAGCCCTAATAGGTCGTGCGAATTCAGTGCAGTTTGAAAATGGCGGAAACATTGGATATGCATAGTTTGAAAACCAAATTGTTAGTGGCAATCCAATCATCTTCATAAAATAGTGATAAAAAGTTGGAGGTTTCGAGAAAATGAAGGAGATTACTTCCTACAATTCATAATTTTGTAGAAAGTTCTTTGCGAATTCAATGATGAAAAAAAAAATAAAGTGCTCAACATTATTTCCATGAAACATCTACTTTGTTTTTGATCGAAGTAAAGAAATAATTTCAGGATGCGGAGAAGTTATAAACAAAGACAAACCAACTAATCCGATTTAACCTAGAACAATAATTTTATCACTATATTATTTCGTATTCCATTGGGAATGCACCAGTTCACATTTTGGAGAGAACTAATGTAGTGCGGGTGCAAAACCAGTGCACCACCAGGTTTACGAATGGAATTCGCTATTAGTCTTTGATATAATTTAGACATTCTACAGGGCATTTCCAACACCCCTCTAAAGACAATATCCGTCGGACCAGTGTAAAACTCAACATGTGGATTAGAATACTTGTAGTGTGAGCACCACATGAGTTTCGCAAAAGGGGCATTTTCCCATGTTATTTGCTTTTTGTTTCAACTCGTTATCACATGACGAAAGTATGTCCAGAATAATAGGAGCAAATGAATCGCTGTGCAGTGGATTTGGATCAGACTGCGGGGAGCACAGGTAGGTTTTTGAAATATACAATTCAATCGGTATCCGATGGCATAATTCTTATCTCGCTATCAAATCGCGAAATCGAGTGCAAATTTCCGCACAGGACAGTGACATTTTTTAATCATTTTGCTCAGGATAGTGATCGGCACAGGTTCCATTGGATGAACTTCAATGTTTTTACATTTCTTTGGGACATATATATCATCTCGTTATAAGATGACGGTAGAAGTCTGCAACCGGCTCTCCTTCTATAATAGAAGTGTAAATCTGATAATTGAACTGTAGTAAGGAAACACGATTTCTTAATTTGAAGACAGCACACATAACCGTTTCTTTTATACTTCTAGATCTAGTAGTGGAAAAGCTTTTCAGTTTTTTTTTCTCAATACATTTGTAATCTGACATTTTACCTAGAATTTCCAGAACATCTGACATTCAATGATTTTAAAAGAGCGGGAATACACAGGGCTATAAATTGTTTATACTTTCTGTTTGTTCAATCATTATATCCTTTAAATTTTCAACAGAAGCGAAAATAATCAAGACGATGATTAGAAACATTGCGAATCTCATAAAATAAGCACCGACCATGAATTCGCATTCGCAATAATTAAAGAGCTGCATTTCCATGCCATTTCCAATAAATTTACTGTCAATTCGAATAGGTAGTAACCATCTTTATTTTGGCAATTAGTTACGGTACATTTATAGACATGGTATATGAACAGATCATAATTCAGTATAGCATTAAACGTCAGATGATCTGGGCTTCTCTAGTTTCATTACATTTGAAATATTATAAATCCTAGATATTATGCAGGTTCTTACTTTCACAATGGTGTTCATTCTCCTGATCATGTTCCTAAACATTTCCTCCTCCTTAGGAGTCAGTTGCGTGATTAGCCTAATCATACGTCCCGATTTCAAATCAGGTACCCTGAAAGTGGTGCTCAGTTCTTGGTTATCGTCAATGATACCAGACCACGGGAACAAGTGGAGTACACTGGAATCCATAATATTTCAGATCAGTTTTCACATAATTGTGCTCTCATAAAAAAAAATACACAGCCGTCTCAAAGTCCTGAGCCAAGCTAAAAGAACTTGGCAACAATGTACAATGTCATATATTATCAAGAAGGTGAATTCGCTTAGTGTTCAATGGTGAATTATTGTTGAAAATTAGTGACTAGAGAAAGAAAGAAATATGAAAATATGGAGTTAAAAGTAAAAGGAGTAAAAGTGCGTGCGAAATACTTCGAAAATATTGTTTGAATCAAATATTAACATTATATTTTTAATGTCTTACTTCTGGAAGTGAAGTAAGTTGTTCAACGTTCCTTAGACAAACATACTCGCCTGGCAAAACTAATATGTCTATAGTTAAACCATCTATTGAAGTGAATTCACCTAAAGATTCATGGGTATCTAATAAAGAGAAAGCGACGTTAGCGATGTTGCCATTGTGCGTCGGTGGAAGGCAAGGTTTGGCACTGTTGCTATGTTTTTCTATCGGATACTCGTGATCTCCTTGGTGCTAATTTACTTTAATAGATGATATCTACGTATGACGTATGTATATAAATTTTCCAAAAGATGAAAAACTGGTCCTTATCTCAGTTACGCATTCTCATAATCATTTTGCCTACAAGGGGGGAAATTGATATAAAAAGTAACATACGAATAACTTATTTGTTTGTTAGTTAAGTTGATCAACGATCTACCTCCAATTTATGCATTTTAATTGGAATCCACCAAAGTGAGAAATGAATTTGGAAATTCAAAATTTTCTATTGAAGATTTAACAACCTGGTGAAATATCAGGGGACAATGCAACAACAAATAATCCATATACTGGGTGAGTCATAACTATTGGGATATAGGTCAAGGCGATAGGACCAAATATAGGTCGGCGACCTTTCACTTTTCTATCGATACTTCCACGGGAAATGTTCTTCGGAAATCTCTGCAATCATCCCTTCACTAGCAATACCAATCAGACGAACTAGACAAGCCCAGTCAGCACATCCTTTCGTGGTCAACCTCGAAAGATGTCGAACAGCACTTTATTAAGACTCCTTCATCCATAGAACGGCTAGGCTCTGGAATTCATTGCCTGTGGAAGTATTCCCAACAACATATAATCTCCAAAAATTCAAAAAAAATTCCAATACCTACCTCCTGTCCCTATCCTCCCTAGGAACGCACGATGTTCTTTGAACATTATAGGGATTCCCTTTCGTGCGCTCCAATCGATAAAAAAAAAAAAAATGCCAGGTGAAAGATTCCTAATGTAGAAATCGGCAGGTACCTTTTTTTGACGAAACATTTCATTGACTTTGACATCTACCATTAAATTAAACATCAATTTTACGTAATATTGGTACTCTTTTTTGAACACGATATTTTCATCCGTTTTCTATAAAAACATTATCACTCTCACCAGTTGGCGCTACTAAAACGTGAGGTCAGTGTCAAAGTCAAAAATCCCTAAATTATGCCGGATAGCCCTAAAATATAGGGCCTGTTTGATCGGAAATATTCGAGAAAAATGCTGTAGAATATTTGAAACAAATAGAAAACCTCAAGCTATCGAAAGACGCGAGCTGTCTTACGTTTTTTAACTCTAAATGTGGAACTTTATGACCAATTCTTAAATGAAGATATCGTAGCAAGAGACCACATGACACGAAAATAGGAAGTATATTTATCAGTTCCACCACCCCTGACCTCATGTTTCGGTGGCGCGGATTGGTGGACAATAAATAATGCTAGCCCTCATTGAACAGTTCAAAGTCTTTGAAGGGGATTTCAAATATTACTCAATTTATGAAGTGTGCTTTGGACTGTCAGATAATTGTTGCTGCGGAAAAAATTTTGGTGCGAGTTTGTCAATACTCTACAGCAATATTTTATTGAGGCATTTATGGTCCCATCGCCATATTTTGGTCCAAACAATCCACCCTTATCCCAATAGTTATGAGTCACTCTGTATATAAAGAAAAGTCCCAAATTTGTTAGACTACTGAACCGATTTGGCAGAAAATTCGTGGGGAGCTTAGAACCAGTAGACTGCTATTTTTTTCCCTGTAAATTCAAGATGGCGGATCCAATATGGTGGATTTTGTGATTATGATCAGATTCTATTCAAAATTGGTATCTAGGGGTTCTCAAGATCGGAGATTATGGTTCCTTCGTGGAAATTAGGAAATTCAAGATGAAGGATCCAATAGGGCGGACGAGTTTTGTAGTTATGACCCGAATCTATTCAATATCAGGTATCTAGAGATTTTGTGGATCGGAGATTATGATTCCTTCGTCAAAATTAGTAAATTCAAGATGGTGGATCCAATATGGCGGACAAGGTTTGTAATTATAATCCGATTCTATTCAAAATTGATACCTAGAGTTTCTCGTGATAGGGGATTGATTCCTTCGTAAGTGAGAGTGAGAGTTTTCGGGTTCGAAAATTCAAGATGGCGGATCCGATATGCCGGACGAGTTTTTTAATTATGATTCTGGGGTTTTAGGAGTCGGAGATTATGATTCTTCCGCGAAAATTGGGAAATTCAAGTGAACTAAAAAGGAGTAGAACATAAATCGTATATTCAAAAACTGAAGAAACATGCTTTTTATGGATGGCCATACCAAAATGAAGTAGAAAATGAAATAATAATAGTGTATTGATGCTCGGCTGATGAATATCACACTGAAAAAAATAGTTTCTAGAAATAATGTATATAGCAAAACAACGTTTGCGGGGTCAGCTAGTGAAAAATATAATAACTCACCCGTGTCTGTCATAAGTGACTTGCTTAAGGAACTTTCTCAGCGATTCTTTATCTTGAATCTTATCGAACTTCGCTTCGAGATCTTCGTGTTTGAGATGATGAGAAAGGACGTTACCTTCTCCTCCTACTATTTCTGTCATATACTGTCTCGCTTTTATGATCACTTCAGATAGTTGAAGCTGAAAGGGTAATCGACCAGGTTCCATGTCAAAATTATACAAGGTGTCCCAGAACAAAGTACCATAAATTCTGCAGGGTGAACTACACCTTTCTGAAACACATGTGACTATTCTGAAATAAAATTGACGCTTTCTGAAATTGAATTTACCTTCCAAAATGCTGCTTAGATGTGCTTGTTTTTTGGGTACCCTCCATAGAAATCACATGAAAATTCACCTAATAGGGGTTCAAAACCATAAAGAACAATATTATGAGGTTTGTTTTTCCGTAAAAAAATGCCTGATATGGTTTCATAAAGAATTGACACCTTTTTATTACAATCAAAACGCACGGCACTGTCCAAAATTATGCTTGTCCCTGAAAAACTGATCATACCGATAGTAATTCATACCAGTGCAAATTTGGAAAGAATCGTCCGTTTAATCTGATCAGACACGAGATGTAAGGTGATTTCAATGGGCATTCAATGGTCTCTAGTTCACCCTTTGGAATTTATGTTACGTTGTTTTGAGACACCCTGTATAAGTAGATGAGTTTGAACGGAAACAAGGAGCGTGATATTTATTACTCACCAAATTTTATGTAACCGAATATAAAGCAAAATAATAATAATTATTATCAATTGTTCAACTAACCAGTAATTGTGGTCTGCCCAATGCAGTTAGCTTGATTGCTGTAATCCCTGTCCCATAAGTGGCACCTGTGAACAAAGAGACTTGGCATTTATTCGTCATCTTCGACGAACATCAAGGATCAACGAATGGCCCATTCAAATAAGAACGCCAAGTTAGTTTAACTAACATAGATTAAACTATGGACATGGTCGGAATATACCCACACCACTACCTCAACGTCTCCCTTGGATGCACCACCTTGTATACAGGGTGCCCCGAAATTAGCCTGCGAAACTTCACCTGCGACTTCTGCGACAAGAAATAGGAAGAAAAGTGCCAAACATGAGTCGAGAAATGTCTCCTAAGGGAGCTACAGCCCTCTGAAAGGGGGTTCCTAAAGATGATATTTCTTGAATATTTCCGAAACGCCAAGTGATAAAATGATACAATTTGATACAAGAACTAAACTTTCCATGCCCAATGCGCTGAACATAAAATTCCAAAGTTTCATTCTAGAGTGTATAATACAGAGTGGGACTACATTAAATGTTGCTCAAACTTGTTTGTATGCATATTTCTCGACAATTTAATCTCGGATTATGAAAATCCTCACCGTTTCACAAAAAACAGGTGATCTAGTTCCGCATCGATCAGATGTATCATTTTCGAGAGAAAAAGATTTAAAAATATTGATACACTCACGCATAACGTAGCCAAATTTCAAATCATAGTGGCTATAAAAAAATCAACTACTTTCTTTTCATCAAACAATCTCATAAAAGCACATTTTTGTGCATCTTTTTCCATTGAGATGTAACAATATTTCAAAATCGCTTTTACTTGATAATGATACATCTGATCGTTACGGAACAAGAGTACTTACCTTTTAACTGTGAAGAGGTGTGGATTTTCATAATCCCAGATTAAATTGTCGAAAAATTTGCTTACAAAAAATTTTAGCAATATTTAATGTAGTCCCACCCTGTATTTTACATTCTTAAGTGGAATTTTGGTATGATTTTATTTTCACTGCAATAGGCATGGAAAGTTTAGTTCTTGTACCGAACTGCATCTTTTTATCACATGAAGTTTCGGAAATTAATACTCACGAAATATCATCCTCGGGAGACCCCTTTCAGGTTCAGCTTCCTTAGGAGACAATTCTCGTCCCATATTCATTGAAACTTGTCTTCATATTTTTGATCATAGAAGTCGCTGGTGTAGTTTGGCAGGCTGATTTCGGGACAGCCTGTATATACCTGTACCTATAGGCACCGAACTATATAGTTCTGATGGAAGTAATTTTTTGAACGAATTTTTTAATTTGAGCAGACTTCAAGGACTGTTTTGATATTTGTTAATGTTAAGAATAAATTTTTATATAGCGGGTGACACAGGGTATCGGAACACCCCTGCATTTGTAAACGGATTTGATACTAAAATTTGATACTGTTATATAAGCAACGACTTCGGATTTGATCACATTACAATCCAATATTGCGGATTTTCGTATTTTCTGGAAATGCCAGCAACTTTGTTTTCTCAATTCCCAAAATTTTGACAGAAAAAAAAAGTGATGTGACATTTTGGGAATGACTCATGTGAGAGTTCCATAATGAGAATGAATATCCACAGATATTATGGAAAAACTCCAGTCAGAACTATACATTCAACACATATGAGCAAGCAAACCCAAAGATTCCAAATACTAATTTAGTCTTGCAAAATAAAGTAAGAAGCTGAAAAAAAAACTATCTACGGTCCCGAAAGTCTCAAGTAATACCAGACAAACTAAATGTTGGTGAAGCCCTTGGAGTTGACACCAAGTTTCGGCTTCTGTGTCAATCTTGGGAATACTACATATTCTTAGTTATATTTTCTACTAGGCCAATTGATGTAAATTGTAAATAAATCGGCAGTGTCTAGTGTAACATCTAATATACAGTGAGATCGTCAGGAAATGAAATCAGACAAAGATAAGTTTCATGTAGTATTAATATGATGATTTTTCTCTCATCTCAAAAAAGTTTTTTTTATAAGTAATGTAAAAATTCTTCTACTCCGATTTATAACACGAAAATTCAACGTAATGTATTAATTGAATGAACCTGAAGTGAGAATATTCAATTATTATTAATGAGTTATACTGAAGTTGATAATTCACCAAATTGTTGGTGAGTCATAACTGAGCCGAGATCATAATATTAATCTTTTAAAAAATTGTAATCCCAATGGGGAAGACCACTGGGGGATGAAATCGGTCCAAACCTCTTTCAATGGATGAATTATGATTTACATTTTTTGATGTACAGTGTGTCCCGTTTTCGATGCTTTTGCGTAATATCTCAGTTATCTTTGGAGATAGAACCTTGCGGTTTTCGCGGTCCTGTTCCGCTTTTTTGTGAAACTCATAATTGACCTTATCAGATTTTGCATAGCTGTTTCCGTTTATGAGATACAGGGCGATTTTGAAAATTTATACTTTTTGGACGCCCTTTTTATCTACGAATTTTCTCAGAGAAATTATCCAATTAAAATCATCCCATAGAGAACTTTACGGAGATTCCAGTGACACACTCAAATTTTTTTTTCGGGGCATGGTTTTGGATATACGACTCAAACTTATGATTTTTTCAATGGAACACCCATTATTTTATAAGCTCACAAAAGTCCTTATTTTTTTTTTCCTTCAAAATAATATATAATGTATATAAACGCCTTCAAAGATTCGTTCACAATTCTGGTTGTCATGGTTTCAAGAGCAAGGTTCCGTTTTGTTGCTGAAAAACTTAGGGCAGTTTTTTCTGTCAGAATAACAGCGACTTATGGAATTTTTTATACATGAGTTAAATTGTCAATGAAAAAATTTAAAATAATATTTACTAATAGTTTTTTGCTATAGAGCTCACGATGATGTTTAAAAGAATTAGTGGTCTCCCCCATTAAGGACTTAAGTATGAGAATATGATTCACAACTCAACTCAACTAATGAATTTATTTTATTATTCATTATTAGCCAATGACTTTGTCTGAAATCTTTGTACATTATAAAAGTTAGTAAGGATGGGGTTCATTGTAAAAGATCTCATGGTTTATTCGATGATCTCCATTCACTGCCGAATGATGATGTGTAAGATTGTCTAGGAGGAGAATTTGGACAAAAAAATTTGTTTATACTTATCTGGAATATAAATTGAAATATTGTTTGTTACCGACTAGACAGGTATTACGAAGACTTGTAATCAGCAATTCCGAGTGCAACTACTACATTTTTTCTTGCCAATTACTTTACCTGGAGACGCCTTCTGAAAATCTAGGGAAAGAAAAAACACAGGCATCATGAATAACGACAAACGACAATATTGCCAATTAACAAAACAATACCAAAACAAAGTAGCAAATCAATAGTGCCTCACTAAACTTGTATACAATACATGGAACAACATGAAAATGAGCAATATGAGTAGGTTATCGGGAATGGATATGTAGTGTAGTGTTTGGTGTTGAAGCGAAATTAAGAAAAAATAAAATCGGCTCCTGTATGAATAGGAATAATGATTTTTAGACCATTTCGTTAATTTCTCTCACGCTGAAAGTACATATACAGAGTTTTCCAACGAAAACTTGATCCCCCCGCAGAATTATTAAGAACCAATTTCTTTTTAGATGCATGTTCTCTCAAATTTTTTGAATCGTTCAATGGGTTAAGTAACACCTTGTTAAACAGGAAGGCAAGAGTCAAAATTTAATGGATGTTTTGCCAAAATTTTTGGTAATGTTTCATTGTATTACTTGTAAAGTGAATTCACCTTCATTCAAAATTCTCTAATCTCTTGGACTCGCTATCTTCTCGGAAGAACTTTGTTGTGAAAACTTTTGAAATACACCTTATTTTTATTGATGTTTGGTAGTAAAAATATGCTTCAGGAAGTAATAACATCAGGTAGGATGTAGTTATCCATGAAATATCATAATTATCTCTGATGAATATTATGAAGTTACGATCGTTCATTATAAATGAATGATTGTTAATAATGTGGCTGTTAGGTATACTTAGGAACTTGTTTAACTCTGTAATGTGTAATGTACGTACATTAGTTACTCAACTTATGATCCATGTGGAATCATGTTTGCATACCGAGCCCTTGTGATAAAAATGTAATTTTTTATAACACAATAAAACTCTATCAATCTAATTATCTCACTTTAAATTACAATTCAAAAGTTTGATGTTTGTGAACCAGAAACAAAAAACACAATCGTTAACACTCTTGTCAAGTAAATTCACCTACATTTTGAATCAGTTTCTTATACTGAATGTCCATCTACGCCTATATTCAATGAAACGGCATCCACTATTACCAATAATTTGGACGAAAATTTCAATAAAGAATTCCTCCGAGTGCTTTGTTTGAGTAAATCCAACTATGAAATTTCAAATGAAACTACCTACTTTCAATGCTTCATTTATTATTTCTTCGGGAGTCAAGTTTTCACCAATAGACCCTGTACATATGTATAATCTAGGGATCTGGTAGTACAGAATCCAATTCAGTCGATTTTTGTATTTGACGATTAATATTAATGTGTTCTGTATTAAATATCAATTAAATATCTGCTCAAACTGTGAAGTTCTTTAGGCTTCTTTTGAAAACGAAAATTTAGTTTTCTAATTTCTCCACAGAATAATATTCTGAATTCTCCCTAAGTGCATAATGACTAATGCATATAGTTTTTGGATGGATTCCAAGTACCTTTATTTCTTTCATAGCTGTTTATATTTTGAATTGTAGATAATATTTTATTATGATTGGCATGGGATTGGATACCATCTTATTAAAACAAAAAACACCAACAATTAATTTATAATGTACACACATACAGATTTATACATACAATTGTTGAAAGATGAATGAGGAACAAACAACACTCATTATGTAAAAGTTATGCCACATTATTCACGAGAAAATTTAATCAGAAGCAAGCTCAAGGTAGCTGAGAAAGCATTGCAAATACGAAAGTCTAAGAAACCCAAAAATTCTCATTAATCATAAAAAATAAAAAACACAATATGAATAACCCTCGGAACAACCCAAAGTTGACAGTTTGCCAGATTAATCGTTCATTCATATAAAATCCAATTGCATAACTTCAACCTTCGACCATGGTATCGTTTGATATATGATAAAACAAATCACTGATTTTGATTGTGTGTTCAATCAATTACTTAGCGCCGTGAATGACATTTTGGTCATTGAAAAAGCATTCGAACCAGAAGCCAGAAGGCAACATTCAAGAATATTATACTTTTTTTTGGTGATAGGTACGAATCATTTGATTGAATTATTCTCCTGAAATTGGGAACTGATTGAGGTAGCTGAAATAATAGAATTTTCCTAAGAGCCTTCCAAATGTAGTGCCCCGCAATTGAAATGAAATTTCAGCTGAGATTCGTAAGATTATAACTTCCAAGAAAACTAAACGATTTTCATTCGGTTCTCAGATTTCAGAAGTTCATTTTATTGTCTCCAGAATCATTGATTCGGAAAAAGAAAAAATGTGAGAATAAATATTTCACAGAGCGATGAATGGCACACTGAAATGGTTTTATATTTGTATTGATTGATTACACTGTTCAGTTAATATGTTGTCACAAAAATAGTGTGTTTTATTTCTGAAACTCTTCACAAGAACATTTTGACGATAATTGATTGATTGATTGTTTTATTACCCCAAGAAACATATCTATTTATAATATTTATAATGAACACATATGAAAAAGTAATAATAATATTATAAGGTTAACTAACGAATTCCACTCAGTGAGTTATAACATTTCAATGCTGAGTAATCAAATCATGTTGAATATTTTTCAATCAAATTGTCCTGATCAGGTATTATTTAAGATTGACTTTAAATCTTCTAACATCATGTATATTTTTCATTTCATTCGGTAATGAATTGTATAAAATTATTCCATTATGAAATATAGATTGTTTGCCAATTCGACTTGAATGTATTTGATATCAAGTAATTCAATTGTCTAGTCCCATAACTATGGACTGTATCAACTTCATTAAAAGCTGAGTTTGATAGTAATTTATTCCTGACAAAATGAATAAAACAACATATTTGGAATTTATACAGGGTGCTAACAAATAAGTGTCACAATGGGAAACTGTAGATTCCTCATAATAAAAGAAACATTTCTTTCCTCTTCAAATTTTTTCTCCGGGTTTCCATTTTCAAGATACAGGGCGTCAAAAAATCAAAAATGTTCAGTTCAATTAAACACACTTTACAAAACCTAATAAACTTAACAACTCAAAAACAAGCATCGAGACCAGCATACTCAAGAACCTGACATTTGATTGAACATATTAGTAGACAGTTCTGAGGTGTTTATTTCCAGTGGATTTTTAGACGATTTTTTTCATGAGCAATCTACAATTTTCCGTTGTTACAGTTATTTGTTAACACCCTGTATAACGTTATGTGACCCATAGGAAATTAAAACCACTTGAGACTAATTCACCTATCAATACAGGGTGATTTCCAGAGTTCTATAAAGGTTCCCGTTTGTGTTTGAGAATGAATATGGAAATGTGTGCCATGTGAGGTATTTGATCGTATCTCAATCGTTTGGATGATAACACACTAAAACAGATAATTTCGTTCTTCATAATCCTGAAGAATTTAGTGTTCGATTTTTTTTGCAATCAGGTTGATTATTTCAAACTGCTATATTTTTATGATGGTATTTCTATAAATGCGAATTGGGGATGAATTTTCAATTCTCGTATATCCCTCACCCATTGAAATATTTTGCTCGTTTATAGATTACCACCGATTCTCATACCAACCGAATACGCACATAAATTTTCCTACTAGTCGGTCCAGCCGTTTTGGAGGAGTTTGGCCACACAGGGACAAGAGAATTTGATATATTAGATTTTGATAAATGACATCACACTTCATGATACAGTATGTGAAAACTAGGAGAAAAAATGTTTGAACCGAATGGGATCACTCCAAATATGATGCAAGTTTGCAGAGTGCCATCCATCACTCTGTGAAGTATTTATTCACACATTTTTTCGTTTCAGAATTCATGTTTCTATAGACAATAAAATGAGCTCTTGCAATCTGAAAACATAATTGTAATCGGATATTTTTTTTTCAGTTTTAATCTCACGAATTTGAGCGAAAATTTCAGGTGTCCCACTTTAATTGCGGGGCAATGTGCGATATTTCTATCACAACATTATAATATCATATCAAACATAACTTCACTTTGATAATCAGTTTATTCCAATTTTTCATTTGTTATAGCCTGTTCAACCCAACTGCTAATGACACAAAAAAATCTATTTCTGTTTCCAAAGTCAATGTATCTATAAATACTCCAGTGTAGGTATATAGAAAGTAATCTTATGAAGTGTGCAATTGTCATCTCAAAATAGATATAAATATCAGGTGTTCTCCAAAGTACTTCATAATAATAATTATATAAGTATGGCTTGACTCATCAAAATGTATTCATATCATAACTGTGATAAGAGAGTACAAAAAAATCCAAAGGTGTCGTATATCATTTTTTTAATAAATAGAAACTAGGTACTCTCAGAGGCAGTTCATTATACAGGGTGTCTGGAAATGGTTGGAATATGGCTCGGCTGTGGACTCCTGGGATAAAAACGAGTTGATTTAGGCCAACTTACCCATATCCAAAAATGTTGAGTTGGTACAAGGTGTTAAAGTTTTTTGTAAAAAAATATTTTGCTCATAAAAAGAGTAGGCTGAGATCGATTTCCATAATTTTTGGCATGGCATGTTCTGTGACAGTAAGTCACGTTTTGAGATGTTTTTGATCATCATCAGTGACCTGCAAGTGTTTCAAACAACCATGTTGCCGTACAAATTTGTCATAAGTCTCGAGGTTCATTTGCAAATAAATGATTTCTGATATGATGCATCCTGCGCATTTTTGAAAATTAATCTAATCAGTCGGACTGTTCATTTATCTTGGCTAAAATGTATTCTCATTATAAACAAACTGATATGTTGCTGGTCCTCGCGGGCTTTACAAGAACTCTCGCGTTGCCATGCCAAAAATCATGGAAATCGATCACAGCCTACTACTCTTTTTATGAGCAAAATTATTTTTTTCCAAAAAAACTTTAACGCCTTGTACAAACTCAACGAGGCGATTTTGGATATAGGAAAGTTGGCCTAAATCAAATTGTATTTATCCCAGGAGTCCACAGCCGAGCCATATCCCAACCTTTTACAGACACCCAGTATATTTATGAATAAGGGGAATCGAGTTTTATGAATTTTGCTGGGAATGATAATTGATTCACCGTGTAAGTACGGGCGATTGAATTTGGATTTCACGCTCTCAACACTCAATATCTCGAGAACTAATTGAGATATTGGAAACTTCAGAACAAATTCTTGAATTGTTCTCTGTCAAATGATATCCTTCAAAAATTATAACTCCATTTCATATACGGGGGGTGTAAACATTTTTATTCTTTTCAAATGGAACACCCTATATTTTGTTGCATATTTTAAAAGAGTGTTTTTCCCGATTTCAAATATATATAATTTTCATACATTCCATGAAGTAATACTGGGTGAATCAAAGGAATATAACCTGAAATTGATTGAAATTGTGGTCGTAATATTATATAATTGAATTCGAGTTTGCTGCTAGATCAACTGAGAATCAATATTGTGGATAATCTCTTGGTTTCAGCTCAGCTTGGGTTAAATTAGATCATTTTATGACAAGAATTTCAATTAATCTCAAGTTCCATTTCTTCGATCCACCCAGTATTACTTCATAGAATATGTGAAAATTCAGCAAAACCACTCTTTCAAGATAATTATTATGAAATGAAATATAGGGTGTTCCATTGGAAAAAATTAAATATTCAAACATGGGATGCAGATATAATGTTCGGAGGGCATCATTCAAAAGAGAAAAACATCTAATTCAAGATTAAGTTATGAAGTTTTCAATATCTCAATTAGTTTTTGAGATATTGAGTGTTGAATGCGTGAAATCCATAGTGAATCATCCTAAACATACACTTGATAAAAAAAAATAATATTATTTTGTGTGGACTGTGTGTGTCAGAGTGTATTTATAAGTAACAATGATTGTAGTGAATTCCATGCCACATAAATATTCCTAAAAAAGAATAACAGAAAAATTGAAAAAGAAAAAAATTGAACTTACCTGCGATCGCCTCGAGGCACCTTATGAAAGTCTCCATGTTCCGTTCACAGGTGGCCTCGTTCAGATAGAAATACGTCCTGGCCGATTGCACTTTGTACCTTCTGTCGGCAAAAGTTTTCTCCACATGATACTGTTTAAGGGCTCCATCGATCTGGGTATCGCCAGCTTCAGGTACTGAAGCCCTGAAGACACAAATCCAAATAATTGGAAAACCTCTATCAAACACATTCAAAAAGTGAAGACCAAACATTAAAAGTTTTCCACGTCCTATGGCAACCCAAGGAATTTTGAGAGATATCGAAATATTCCCAAAAATTCTGAAATACTCCAATTAATTCCGAGGTCTTTCAAGGAATTTATACCTGCAAGGAATTCCAAGAAATTAAATATCTATCCTGAATACGAGACTGGTTACCAAATTTACTATTCCAAGGAAAATAAATTCAACAAAATACAGGGGAAACGCAGAATTTTTTTGAGTAACTTCAAGAAATTTTGAATATGTCCTAACAGGAAGTACAAAAAATGTCGTCCTTACAAGCAGAGAAGCCTCTGTGGAATCATGATTATATTATTATCATATTATTTTGGCTCCATGAAATAATAATCTCCTCCTTCTTCTACATATTCATTCGTTTTGATTGGAAATGTAACCAACCTGTTTTGGAAAAAAATCAAATTTCTTGAAATACTACTACTGATCAAAAACTCCTTCTGGGGGCAGTGTTCCTGGATAACGGAGAAATGTAACTCCTCTGAAGCCAATTATAGAAATAGCTTTCAGAGAATGAAGAGAAAGCGAGAGAGACAGATAAAATCTGTTGTCACATTCACACTGCTGTGCACACATATTTCTTTGGTTGAGCGGATCCTATGAAATGTGAATTGAAAAAATAATGTTCTAAAGCATTCATATATAATCTTGAGCCTTTTGGAAAATTCTATCACATTTTGGCCCATTCCACAACATTCGGAGGACGTGCCTCGAGGAAAAAAGGAACTGCTAATTCGAAATGTTTTTTGGAACAAAGGTGACCGGACCGGAACCCCCTGGGTACGTCCCTGTTGTACCCTTTTGAAACATTGGAGAAGTCTTGGTCACATCTGCATTCGATTACCAGCTGTTTCACTGATTTTCGCACGGCACTGTCCAAAATAATGTTTGTCTCTAAAAAACTGATCAAATTGATAAGGTTTTTTATGCCAGTCCAAATTTGGTGAGAATCGCAGGAATAATAGCTGAAATGTAGAGGAGGAGGGGGGGGGCGTTCTAGATATTGATTCATTGATAATTCCCATGATAGACATCCTTATCTTGGACACAGTGTACACAAATTCTGCTTGTCTTCAAATTAACTTTCCATCCATACATTCCTTCCATATAAGAATGGTTGATGTTTCCTTTTGAAAATTGAATAAATGGAATCCATTCTCTTCAGAATTCCCACAATTCATTACACAGCAGGACATTTTCATATAAAGCAAGTCTCTTGGTCTCAAAAGTTATTCCACGGCAATGTCAAAACTGATGTATGTCTCTACAGCGTGTCTCTAAAAAAACTGATCAAATTGATAAGGTTTCGATGGGCAGTCCAAATCTGGTAAGAATCACAGGAAATATAGCTGAGATATAGAGGGGGAGGAGGCGTTCAAAGTGAGATAGGCTGTATAATGTTGATCTGGATATTGATATAGATAGATAAATAGAGCTTTATTTGACCACGATATGTTACATAATATAACATTTTTCTACAAACGTCAAAAACTGACCAGGCTCGCGCAAATTAATATTATATGTTCCTGAAACATCGTGCGTACCTAGGGAGGATATTGGTAGGCCTTTAAAGCCAGTTCAAAACCATTTTTTATATCAAGCTTAGCATATTTTTACTTCAGAACTATATTTTATGACGTTTGTAGAAAAAATTTTGTTCGCAACTCGAGCGTGAAATACCTCATTCAAAAAATCAGATCTGGATCACCAAAGTAGCATTTCGCGCTCTAGATACAAAAATAACTATTTTTGCAAGTTCTAGGTTCCAGAGAATTATAATTAAAATATAGAGAATCAATATTAAAATTTACCAGAACCAACAGATAATTTTTTACGCATATTTTGAACCGGTTGAATCTTGATGTTTTAATTTACGCTGGTAGTTTGTTGAATAAGTGAATTTGTAAGGAGTTTTGCAGAGAGATAGATAGTCTGTATTTGAAGTCTGAGTTCATTTGAAGCCCTAGTAGAGGCAACTTCTGAAAGAGTTTGATAGATAAATATACAGGGAATTGTCATTATTCTGTGTTTTTTAAATAAGGGCTGGCGATGTGCACTGTAGATGGCACCATCCCGGATTCTGAGTGCCTTATTTTATATTTCAAATACTTTCAATGAGTGTGTTGAATCACCCCATAGGAGTGTACCATAATTGAGTTGAGAATGAAACAGTGAATGATATGTACTCAATAACATTTGACGAATTTTTTCTAGTAGTCCTAAGAAAAATAGTTGGAAAGCTTTCTGCATAATTGATCTGCATGGGCAGACCCATCATCTAGAACTATGAGTTTTATCTTGGTTTGGTTTTAGGTGATTCATTGATATAATACTCACTCGACTTCTCGTTTTTCAGCCTCCTCTTGCGAAATGTCCTCCTCCACAGAGTAATCGAGGATCGGTTTGACGCCGAAGGATCGCAGCCTCTCTAGCTTGGGTCTGATCTTGTACTGATCCTCGCCCGCCACAAAGTGGCCATAGAAGGTGGCCTTCATCAGCTGAATGAACAACTTCTCACCCAATATGCTCTTGGCCAATTTCATCAGCTGAAACAATCCGAATTACACTCTATTCCTTTCGAGACCGCTGAATACATTTCCATAGTTGGAGAAGTAGTCCACTGAAATTGGGATTTTGATATGGAATAATTCATACAAAAGGTTTCAGCAATGATAGCGTGTACGCCTCAGTGTACGCATAACATTTAGGGAGCGCTCTAAAGATGCTAAAAAACGGGTTTTCTGAATTTTCTCGCTAAATATTGATTTCACGACAAATATACCTACAGTATGCCACGATTTTTCAGGCTGAAGTATTTGCAATACTTGCATGTGTTCGAGAGAATATCGAGTGGGGCTATCACAGCCAGCAAATCACTATATGCACTGACAGCCAGGCGGCGATCAAGGCGCTCACCTCGTATAGGGTGACCTCCGCCTTGGTGTCAGAGTGCATAGATAGCCTACAAAGGCTGTCAGCAACGAATAAAGTATGTGTTTTGTGGGTCCCTGGAAACTCAGGGGTACCAGGTAACGAAACGGCCGATGATGGTCTGGCCAGAAAGGGGGCGAAGGGTACAGTGATTGGCCCAGAGCCAATCTTAGGGGTCACTCGATCCTGGAGCAACTTCAGGATGAAGGAAATCCTGACGGAAAGGTTTCAGGACAGCTGGAGGTAGGCTCCTGGAATGAGGCAGTCCAAACTCCATATAGGAAACCCGTCACGAAGACAGACCAATGCTCTCTTGGCTTTGACCAGGAAGGAGCTGAAACTGGTGGTGGGCCTTCTGACAGGGCACTGCCACTTGAACAAATATCTCAGCACGATCGGGATTGTGGAGGATCCTGAATGCAGATGGTGCCTAGAGGATGAAGAGACTTCTACTCACATCCTCACTGAATGCCCGGCAGTAGTGGCAGCAAGGGATATCCATTTGGGGAGCAGTATCCTGGACCCAGAGGATGTTAAAAAGATTTGGCCTAGAAAGTTGGGCTCTTTTGCTCGCGAGATCGGCCTTCTCTATGGCTGACTTGCGATCCTAGGAATGTAGGTGCACAATGGGCCCGAAAAGGGAGGCCTAAGTGCGTCAGGTCCCGGACCGCCCACACATACATACATACATATACCTACAGTGTGTTACAATTTGGTCTACCTCCACCTTGTGCTTTCGTATTCCTAGAGCGATTTGGAGATATTTCTTTCTCATAATATATTACTCAAAATTATCTACTTTGTCGAGCAAGAAAACATTATCAATCACAATTTCTTAGCCCACTGCGATCAAAAAAACTCCATCAAATTTAAAGAAAACGGATTATGTATTTTTTGACTTTAGATGTAAGCAATCGATTTGGACTAGTCACGTTTATAATAATTCTCAAAATTTGAATGATATCAGCGGATATCAGGCATGATGGTAGTCAGGACTAGATCATCTGGCTACAGAATGAGATAAATAACCAATAAAATCACTTAAAATTCAGATTTTTTCAGCAAGAAATAAAATAATCTAAATGATACCTATCAAAAAATGACATGAAAAATTAGAGAAAGAACAAAACAGCAATTATTGCTAAGAAGTTCAGATTTTTGTATTTTCGATTGAATTTCCTTCATTCGCACGTTATTTTCAACTCTCCTTCAATGTTTACAAATTGAGGCAATAAAATAGGGAAGAGTTGTGCCAAAAAAAGAGTTTGCAGACAGATACCACCAGAAGAACTGAGGAGAGTTGAAAGTAACGCACAAAAAGGATATGAAGTGTTTAGAGAATGAAGGAGATTTGATCGAGAATACAAAAATCTGAACATTAATCTGAATAATTGCTGTTTCGTTCTTTGTCTAGGGCACCGAGATGCTGACAGGATTAGGAACGTGAACTAACTACACTTTTTTTATTGAAAGCATGAATGGCTGTAGCGAACGAGTCTAGCGCTTAGATTGCACCACTGATTGCACGGCCATGTTCTCTTGTTCATTTCATTTTTACTATCGCTTGGTGCGAATGTAAGGAAACCCTTATAATATTCGAAGAACATCGTGCATACGTAGGGAGGATAGGAGAAGAGGTAGGTGTTGGATTTTTGTTTGAACTTTAAGAGATTATAAGTTCTTGGAAATACTTCCTAGCCTGGCCGTTCTATACAGAAACGAGTTTTGATATTGTGCTGTTCGATATATTTTGAGATTGACAACGAAAGGATGTGCTGACTGCTGTGGATTTATGCAGCAGTTGTAAGTCGTAAGAGGAAAATGGTGATTCATGCAGCAATCATAAGGACACCCCTTCAGTCGTTCGAGTCCTGTCCTTTCCCGCCTGTCAATTGTAGGAACTATCAACTGTCATTTTGGAATTTTGTTGCAATCAGGATTATTCAAACAATTTATGTTTGTATCAGAATTCTTCATTAGAAATGTATGCGAATTATAGACGAAAGTGAAATCTAAGAGAATGTTTTAGGTAATTGCATATTTCCAGGAAATCTGTGTAAAAATGAAGCCCTCATCTTTGTGGCCAATTCGTTCTTTAGTAAGCTAAATGACAATAAACGTTAAACACAATATTTATGTGAGCAAAATTAAGCAATCAGAATATGGATACTAACCTGAAAACTTTGATACCTCAACGAATCGAAGAGTTTTTATCCTCTACGTCAGATGAAAACTTCTTATTCACAAAGGTTAGTAAGCAAGCCATTCATGTATCATAACCTAACCTGGCCACATCTACAACCAATATCACTTATACGTATCTCGTTGGTTGCATGTAGTTGCATATGATTTTGTCGAAGAGAGGAATTATGAATTCGTTGAAAAAGTATAGTATGTAACGCGTTTATAAACTCTTCTAGACACTCGTTTATTAAACAGTCGCTCCGCTTTGTTGCGCTCGTGCTTAAAATACTAGTTACTAAAAGGACGCTCAGACATAGCCACCTCTGTTATAATTAGACAGAATTCTCATATTCTCATGGGAAATTCGAAGGATGGCAATCGAATCTAGTAGATGTCTGGTAATATGCTGTCATGGTCATGGCTACTAGATTTTAATTAGCATTGAAAAGAAGTGCTTCCATACAGTGGCGGATCGCGGCATACGCGCAGTTATCGCGCGCCAAAAGGACATCAGTTAAGGAACTGCAACCATCGATGAGCACAAGGATATAATATGAAATCAAACTTCAATTCGTTGAATTTTTGAAAAAAGTGAATGATGTAGTATACATTGCCGAACGTAGAAATCGTTTTAAAAATTGTTTTGACTATTTTACCGTACTGAAGAGGTAGTGATGTGAAATGCTCGAGAAAGTATTTTTGGAGAATGTTCCCTGAGCACGAACGAGCATGTACAGTCGTATTCAATAAAAAAGCGTACAAGTATTGAAAAAGGAGGATTTCGGGATCCTAGTTCTAGTTGTGTAAAACTGGCTCAGCCAATGCTTTGTGTCTTCGAGAACCTATGACAACTTTACTGTCAACATTTGGTTAACAATCATTCCCGATAGCCCGTTTTATGCAGAATAGGATGACGCTCTGTAAAATATACTTGTACGCTTTTATTTTGAATGCGACTGTACAAGAATAATCGAGCATAAAGAAAAAAATCCATAATTTATGTAGGGTTTAGTAAAGAATTCATAAACTCAGTTTTAGCGTTCTTCCTGAAAATGCTCAAAATTATAAAATTGTTGAAAATGTTCCAAATTCTCCTAATGCGTCATAAGATAATGATCCACTTTTTTAATTGCAGGTGCAGTGTTGAATTTTGACCTTCGACGTTTATCAATCTATATCTTAGACACAGTGTACGCATTATATTTCTCCTTGCCCTATGTAATGAAATGTTCATAAGATACAGGACAGTTTAGAGAATATTATTCTCTGAACTGTAGATACAGGTACTTTATAGAACAACAATGTTATTGTCTTCCAGAATATATGCTTCCAGTATCATTTGCAAAATTTGCAAGAATACCTATACGTCTTATCCATTCCGTTTTTATAAAAACAGAAATCAAATGCCTCGCATTTTCTTCTGGGGATATTAATAATTGTAATATCTGATATATTAAAGTCTCCTGTTCCATTCATGGTGTTGGTGGCCAAACTCCTCCGAAACAGCTCGACCGATTCGTATGAATATTTTTTTGCGTATTCGGTAGGTATGACAATCGGTCGTAATCTATTTTTCAAATCGAACATTCAAGATGGCGGATCCAATATGGCGGACGAGTTTTTTGATCCGATTTTATTCAACATTAGTATCTGGGGATATTCGGGGTCATAGATTATGATTTAATCGCCAAAATTAGGAAATTCAAAATGGCGGATCCAATATGGCGGATCCAATATGGCAGACGAGTTTTTTTAACTATGGACCGATTCTATTCAAAATTGGTATCTAGGGGTTTTCGGAGACGGAGATTATGATGCTTTCGTCAAAATTTGGAAATTGAAGATGGCGGACGAGTTTTTTAATCATGATCAGATTCCATTCAAAATTTGTATCTGGGGGTTTTTGGGGTCGGAGATTATGATTTTATTCTATAAAATTGGGGAATTCAAGATGGCAGATCCAATATGGCGGACGACTTTTGTAATTATGGTCAGATTCTATCAGAATTGGTAACTGTGGGTTTTCGAGGTCGGAGATTATGGTTCCTTCAAAAATTATTAAATTGGAAATGGCGGATCTACTATGGCGGATGAGTTTTTAAATAATAATTAGATTCTATTCAACATTGGTATCTGGGAGATTTCGGACTCGGAGATGATGATTCTGTCATCAAAATTTGGAAATCCAAGAAGAAAGATCCAATATGACGGACGAGTTTTGTCCTCGGTTTTGTCTATGATCTGATTCCATTTAAAATAAGTATACGGAGGATTTTGGGGTCGGAGATTATGATTCTTTCATCATAATTAGGATATTAAAGATGTATGATCCAATATGGCGGACGAGTTTTGATTCGATTCCATTCAAAATTTGTAACGAGGGTGTTTTCGGGGTCGGAAATTATGATTTTATTCTTTAAAATTGGGAAAT